AAGAGAGAGATAAATAAAGAGTGATTAACATGTTTTATATTTTATTCAGACAGTTACCTCCCAGTCATGACTGTTAGTTCTTGCATCAAGGAACAGCTGATGATTTTCTTTCAACTTACACATAAAATCAAACAGATTTCAGAGTCAATCTTATGAAGACACTGGGCGGAAGCATTCATGTACAGCAGATCACCATAATCTAAAACAGATAAAAATGTGGCATTTACAAGACGCTTTTTTGTCTCAAAAGAAAAGCAAAATTTGTTTCGAAAGAAAAATCCCAATTTTAGTTTGAGTTTTTTCACAAGATTGTCTATGTGAGATTTAAAGGTCAGAGAATCATCAATTAAAAAGCCAAGATATTTATACGTATGCACCACTTCTATGAGGTTTCCCTCAAGAGTGGACACCAAAGGGACAGTTTGAGGAAATCTCTTCATGTTTGAAAACAACATTAGCTTTGTCTTTTCAGCATTAAGAACCAATTTCAGCTCCAGAAGTGTGTGCTGAACCACATCAAAAGCTTTCTGCAAAGATTCTATTGCCTTTTCAAGGTTTGAGCCAAAGGAATAAATAACTGTGTCATCAGCATAAAAATGCATACTAGCATTGGACACATTTTGTCCCAAATCATTTATATACATGATGAACAACAGAGGTCCTAAAATTGAACCCTGTGGCACCCCAGTGTGAATATTCAAAAGTTCTGAGCACAGATTTTCACATTTAATGCATTGAGTCCTGTCACTCAAATAGTTAGTGAACCAGGAGACGACATGTCTAGACAGCCCCAAAGAAAGAAGCCTATGCTTTAAAATGGCGTGATCCACAGTGTCGAAAGCTTTTGACAGGTCGATAAAGAGAGAAGCACAGTGCTGTTTTTTATCAGAGCAACAAGTATGTCATTTATCACTTTTGTGGCAGCCGTAACAGCACTATGCTGTTTTCTGAACCCAGATTGCAGTTTTGAGAGAACTTCATTAGAGTACAAGAACTCTTTTAATTGCTCACTGACGAGAGACTCAAGGACTTTTGCCAAGACACACAAGTTTGATATTGGCCTGTAATTAGTCAGAATGGCCGGGTCGCCTCCTTTTAATATTGGCGTAACAAAAGCAGACTTCCAAACAAGTGGAATTTCTTTATTTTGGATTGAAAGATTAAAAAGGATCGTAAGAGGTTGTGCAATGTAATCAGCTGCTATTTTCAGAAAATAGGGCTCTATTAAGTCTGGCCCTGGGGGTTTCCTGTGATCTAAGGCTTTAAGAGCTTTATGCACTTCCTGGACAGAAAAAGGAGAAAAATCAAAAAGCTCCCCAAAATATGTTTGGGGTTCTGTGCAGGGAGTCATGGGGGCTGCTCCAACAGAGTTAAATAAAAAACGAGTAGCTACGAAGTGCTTGTTAAAGCTATTTAAGACCTCAGTTCTGTCATAAACTGGGACAGAATCTTTTAAAATGAATTTTGGAACCTGTGATATTTTATTTATAGATAAGGACTTAATTACTTTCCAAAATTTCTGAGGGTTATTGAGGTTTTCTGTAGTAACAGATAAATAATATTCTGACTTAGCCTTCTTGATAAGTGTCGTGCATTTGTTTCTTAATTTCCTGAAGTCTAACCAGTCAGTCAGGGAATCGTTTTTCCTAGCTTTTGCCCATGCCACATTGCGCTGATGGATGGACTCTGATAATTCCGATGAAAACCAAGGGTTCTCCCGTCCCTTGACCCTAAATTTTCTGGCAGGTGCATGCTTATTTAAAATCTTCATAAAAATTTCTTTAAAATAAGCCCAAGCCAGATGGATGTCTGGTATCAGACTCAATTTTCCCAATTTACCATGGACAAGTCATAATGAAACGCTTGCTCATTAAATATTTTAAAATTTCTTTTACAGATGATACGCGGTTTACATTTAGGGATTTTAGGTTCCTATAAACTTAAAGTCTAATTTAAAGCTTTAAGTGTCAGCTGTTATAAACAAATTGAATTGTAAAAACAAAATGTCAATTATTGTTTCAAAGTCAAAATGAAAGATGATGGCTTAATGACACGAGACGCAAGGTCATTCTCATTTGTTAAAAACTTAATAATGTAAAAAAGAATTCCTGTGTTTTTTGTGATGCACGAATACTTGTTGTTGAATTGAAGAAAACAGGTGTGGTAAGGTGCTCTGACATAGTGATTTGACGAAAGAAGAGTTGAATGTATGAATGATCATGCTGTAAAAATGTAAACACACCCAAACCTGATGTCACCTGTTCAGTATATAAAGTGCAGTGCTGCTCCTCAGCTTCAGTATCACAGTCCAGGGAAACTAATCTGCAGAACTGACCTGTTCATCACAATGAAGCTGCTGTTTTCTCTGTTTCTTCTCTGGGCACTCTCCACCACAGGTAACTACACTCATTTCACCTGCAGGTAGAAGAGAGTCTAATTTAAAGCTTTAAATCTTTTATTTTAATCTTACATTGTAATTTTTTTCCAAAGTTAGTGAGTAGTATTGACTCGACTGTAACCTGCTGTAACCCAATATGAACTTTCAAAACATCTCATATTTGCTATATATTTAAATTGTGATGATCATTTTTGTGTTTCTCTCCTGATTGCAGCTGGAGCCCTCCAGTGCCAAACCTGCACAAATTCAGCATGTTCAAGCACAGCACTACTTACATGCTCCTCATCGGAAACAATGTGTGTTACAGCTACCATTCTAGGTAATGTTTTCTTCATATCATATTTCATATTTTCACCAAATTACAACCACTGTGAAGCTATTTGTGTTCCATCAACATTAACAAACCGCACTTTGAATTTGTAGCTACTTCATCTGGAACTCCGGTCACACAAATCTACAAGGCATGTGCATCTTCCTCCCTATGTCCAGCCGTAACCTCTCAGACATTTTCAGTCGACCTGGGTTTTCAAAGTGCTCTGGCTTCTGCTCAATGCTGCAACACAGATAACTGCAACTCAGCAACTCTACCAAGTAAATTAAATACTACGTTGCTCATCGAAGACAAAAGAATAATATAAAGAAATAAAAACAATAATCTGATGTTGTAAGAGTCTCTGTTCTGAAATGAAATGGCCTCCTTTTGTGTTTCAGATCCTGCTTCACAGTCAAATAATGGTGGAGTATGCAACTTTTGTGACCCTTCCACTGGTCAGTGCTCATCCACATTACAGTGTCAGGGAGTGGAGAACCAATGCTTCCAATCGACCAGTGAGTCTTTATGTTGTATCAGTTGTGTCATCGGTTTTCAATCAAAGATGATTTCAAATTCTTTTGTGATACTTCTGACGTATAAAAGAGCAGAAACTTTTACCCTAATTTATACTAAATGTTGTCCTTGGGTGTGAAAGTTACTGTGATAAGATTTTAAATTTCAAGCCTGGAAGTCAGAGAAACACATAAACGTTTTAAAAAGCTGTTAAGTTGTTTTTTGCATGAAATATATTAAGCTTCCTGGAAAGTAGCCAATTTAAAACATATCCTGAAATTCTTCTTTTTGATCTGCAGTCAAAAGCGGCACCAGCACGTATCCAGGTTACGGCTGCGCATCTGCAAACCTGTGTGCAGCTGCTTCAATGCTGGGTTCTCTACCTTTCATGCAGAGCGTTGGTACAGTATCAGGTGTTGCCTGTTCTGCAGCCCCAACTACAACTGCTGCCCCAACTACAACCACCACCCAAACTACAACTACAACCACCATCCCAACTACAACCACCACAGCCACAACTACAACTACAACCACTGGCACAACTATAACCACCACCCCAGCTACAACTACAACCACTACCCCAGCTACAACTACAACCACAACCCCAACTACAACTCCAACCACCACCCCAGCTACAACTCCAACCACTGCCACAACTACAAGCACCACCCCAACTACAACTACCCCCACAACTACAACCACCACCCCAACTACAACTACAACCGCCGCCACAACTACAACCACCGCTACAACTTCAACCACCACCCCAACTACAACTACAACCACTGCCACAACTACAACCACCACCCCAACTACAAGTACCGCCCTAACTACAACCACCACCCCAACTAAAACTACAACCACCAACCCAACTACAACTACAACCACCGCCCCAACTACAACCACCACCCCAACTACAACTACAACCACCGCCCCAACTACAACTACAACCACCACCCCGACTACAAGTACTGCGACAACTACAACTACTACCCCAACTACAACAACAACCACTACCCCAACTACAACTACAACCACCAACCCAACTGCAACTACAAC